CTTCTCCAAATAAATTATAATTCGCTAGCTGTCGCCTTCTTCGTCTAGCTCGACGCCTCTACCACTCTTTGAACGTTTACCAGGTTCCCAAATACTTAACAGCTGTTAAACTTAACCATTGGTCACTATTTGATGCAATGGCCAAAGACGATACTAAATGACACACACGAAGTGTTATTAGCGTGAATCTACAAAGGGGGCCGAGATAGCTCCGTGTGCGGGCGCTCGCTTTCAATATCAATATACTCGGGCAACATGAGTTCAAATCCCGGTGCTGGCACAATTGAAATTGTTAGTTTTAAGTGCTGATTTATCACGTGCTCAGCGTTGAAGGAAAACAACGTGTGGGAATCTGAATGTATTGATAATAATAAAATGATTTTTATGATTATCAGCATCAGACGATTGTTGCTTCGTTGCCATCTCAGTGAAAATTAAAAATTCCCGTAATCGTTGATATGGGTATGGAGTATTTGATTGAAATAGACTAGTAGTCTACTATTTCTATCGCTAATTGGTGCACCGTTTATGTATTTAAATTTAGCTAAACTAGATATACACCATTTTTAATAGAACAAAGCATCCTTTAAGATCCCTTTATAGAAATATGATGGTTTAGGAAGCAATCATTAACAACGCATTCTAAGCTTTTGTTATAATGCAATTAAAATCTAACTTTTTCAAAGCTTCAGCGTGTTTAATAAAATAAAAGTGTTCATCGAAGTAAATTTATTAAGTGTTTTTTTTTTTTCGTTGTAACAATTTTATCAGATGAAGTTCTTAATGTTGTTTATGGTGTTTAATAATGTAATTTTTAAAAGGTTTCAGAAATTCGAAATCCAGCGGAAAGTATAGTATTTATTACGAGACGTTTTCTAGACTTCGGTCAGAATTAATATATGAATGTACGAATTCTATTAAAATCACATAATATTTTGTTCAAGAGATAAAGTTGATATCTTAAATAAAATGATTTTGCATTTTAAAACTGTTTTAGTTCCACTGTAAGTGTACCCTATAGAAAATTTGTTCAAACGTTTTGGAAACGTTTTTGTTTTATGAGAACCAAAATGACCGTCGTCAGAAAAACATTATTCCTTATCGTTGACATGATTAACTGTGAAGGTCGCGCGTCGTTATAATAATCGTTATTAGATAAACACACGGGAATTGGAACGTTTCCATGAGAAAAACTTACTTTTCGTACGCGTGAAACAGATTAATTACTCTTGTGACGTATACACGTGGAGATTACTCAGTGTAAATATTGGAGGGGGGAGGGGTGAAGGCGAGCGGGGCGATTAATAAATACCACCGGATTCCCGTGCGTTTGTCACCGCTGCTATGCGGCGTGAGATGATTCTGGAATAATAGGTTTATCAACGCTCCTACGTTTGTCCGCTTTCACAGAATCCACGTGCCTCTATCGTATCATTCTTGATTGGATTCTTAAATACGCTTTTAAGAAAGAATAAATGTTCCCAATTTCGATGCCCCTTTAATCTTCCAACCCAGCCTCGACTTTGTGGGCTTCCTTCTAAGAAAACTGTGGCAACTTCGCTATCGATTCCTTAATAAAAGCTGAGGTAATATATTGTTATTTCGGCAAAAATAGATACCCCTTTAAAAACGAAGTATGAAATTTGAATCAGTCAAGAACTTAAATGCGATTACTTAGTGGCGCAGTCCGTAAGCGATTGGCTTCGGCACCGAGGTCGTGGGTTCGATTCTTACGCGGCGCATATTTGTGTAACCTACTGATAATTCCGTTTCGGGCTATTTGATTTGGAATTATTTTTTTTTTACGTGAAGAGTTGCCAAGCGAGCAGACGGTTCTGCTATACCCGAGGGTTCCAGATGCGTTGACAACCTTTTGAGAATTGGACTCCAGATCTGAATCCGAATCTAAACTGTCTATTATTCAAGTTCTCATGAAAAAAACTTAAAGTAACCGAATGTTAGTAAGTATTTAGTAAAAGGGTTGCTTGATATTTTAGGGGCATTTTTATTAGAGTCGAGATATAACGTTGGGACTGTCGTTATATCGCTGAGACAACTCATTACTTACGCTCGATCTTAGATAAATTACACTCCTCCCTTACTACTTAACTCCTCAATGGAGCTAACTTACCCACATCACGCCCTAAACCTTTGTTATTTCCGTACCCATTTCTTAGATAAATTCTCCACTCTTTTGTAATCAATGCTTTGTCGCTATTTCTGAAGACCAAACAGGTTTCTTCATTCAGACGCGCTTGTTATTTAGCCAAAAATTTTTTTTGAGATATTATAGTACTTTTTGAGATAAATTAAACATTTTACTTTGCGATGTCGCAAGTGATATCCAGTATTAATTAAACAAGTAGTGAAGGTACACATACCAACTTTTACATTGACATCATTTTCAGAATATGCACCTGGCTTAAAAATTGTAGGTAATGCTATAACATCTGAAATTAACTTATATTTCCATATATTTCAAGTCCAGGCTTATTCCATCTCTAGTAAATCCATACTTTTATGTTTCTATGACAGAATTAAAATAAGCTTTTGTCGTTGTGTTAAAGAAAAGAAAAGGAAACAACGAGTTCAATAACAAACATCGCTCTTTATTAAATAGTTATGTACTGGACATTGATAATGAAATACATAATATATATAATCGTAGTACAATAACTATGTCACAAATAATGGTCTTACAATAATTTGTACATTCAAAACACTTTTGAATCTAAGTTTGCCTTTTCATCAAAAGGACACCTGTATTCCGAATATGAGGTAGTTGTAGAGAGCTGACATCTGCATCATTTGTTGAAAAATAACATCATTCAAAACATTGTTGGTAACAACCCTTCTGTTTCGCATTGACTAACTAATTATATAAACAAATATGAGATTAAACAATAAATTTCAAAAATATTAATATATAATAGGAACTGAAATCGATTGCAAATCTTACGCCCGAAATAGATTTGCGTCTACTCGCATGTTGCATTAGGGTATTTGAATGCGTTTTGTCAAATAGACGAAATTAATTAAAATATACAGATAAAAATCAGTAAATATGTGATATAGATCAGTCTCAAATTGTAAAATTGGTATACGACGAAGACAGACATCTGTTTTACTTGATGTGGAAACTTTGGCTTCTTACCCTGACATATACGTAGTATACGAATCGAATGAGGTAGATAATGGCACCGACGCTATCATTACACTAACTACCGTAACATTTAAACATACCAACTTGAAATTACGAACCCTAGTCGAAGGTTTAATTTTATTTTGTACACATTCAATTTTGTACCAAGCATTTCTTTGGAAAAAAAAAATTTATTTGGTATGTTATATATTTTTACATCGACACTTTACGAAAATCTACAGCCGTCAAATACTTATGACTAAAAAATAAAATAATAATAATAATCAACAATCAATACTGCTTAAATAGATCCGTTGCTTCATGTGCGCGAAACGTTCCAAACATCTATTCTGCACTAAGAATTCATATTGAAAACGAAAAAAGAAATAAACACACTAAAACTAATAGGAGACTAATACCCGTAGAACAAATTGCAATAATTCTTAAAACTCCTCTACAAATGGAGTCGATACCGCATTTGGTATTACATCATCACATTGATATAAACATAACAAGATCCATGTGCACTAAGAATTGAGTCGTATTTTAATACTAAATATATACAATTTTAACCATTAAATACTTTGACTGCACCTTAGAGACTATTCGGATATAATAATGTAACAAAAACAATTCCAAGTGTACATGAACTCGTTCGGACATCGAAAAAACATTTATCGTAACATTTATTAACTTAGACATATATAATACAGCCTCCGCTGCACCACATAATATTCCCAATTCTAAGACGTATAATTTTAACTTAAATAAATACACATCTGTTAGCGACCTACGTAAAACTACCGAAAAAATATATACACAGTGTTCAAGCTGTTACTTTCATAGAACGTCTATGGCTAATTGATAAATAATAAATAAATTTATAAGAAGATGATAGCATTATGTACAGAAGCACATTCGCTCGGTCGCCTCGTCCGTAGCCGTGTCTTGCCTGCTCGCCCGGAGGGGGTCTCGTTTTCGTCGGTAATTACCTACCGGTAAAGCTCCATTGATTCCAAATAAGCATCCCCTATAATTGTACTGCGGGAAAGTATCAGTTACGCATTACCCGATATTTGAGAAATCGAAATGAACGCGCTCATAATAAGAAACAAGCAGAATTCGTAGTCTTTGTGAAAATCTGTGAATCGGGTTCTTACCGATTATGAACCGGTTAGCGCGACTCGTAGCGGATAAGGGCGGGCACAATGGCGCGCAACCTCGAGCGGAATCAATACCTAATAATCACCGATTGTTAAACAGCCTTTGTAACCGATGTAATAAGCAATTGCTTGGCCTTCTCCCGATCGGCCGTATTCCGGTTACCGTTCGCCGATCGCGAGGGACGACGTCGGAAGGAGATCGATGAGCGTCAAGCATAACGAACGTGTTTTTCCATCGCGAAACAGACAAAAGACGCAATAAATCAAGAAATATCTTTTGTGCAAAGCGCTCTATGTTCCATGAGTTGCGAAACAAAAGACTAAAAATGGTCGCGTTTTTGCAACGTCTCGCCCAGCGATTATGCAAATGGCACAACAATAAAGTTTTAAACTGTAACACGGTGAAAAAGTGCTCTTTTTATGACATTGCAAATGCAAAATTATAAAAAGCCAATGGTCGACTACCTAACGCGACTACGTTGGTAGCGTTAACGAGGAAATAGGAAGCGCAAAAACATCATTGTTTGGAATATTTTGTGGAGCGTTACAAGTAAGCAATACTTTGAAATAACGGTTCGACAAAAAAACGACGAGGGCGAGCAGGAGTCACCGGCATTCGAGAGTTTTCGACTTTGCGGATTCTACACAGAAGGAACTCATATACCGGCTCGGCGGCGCATGGCGCGGGGTAACTACGCGAGGTGCACGCGCAGGTCGGTGGGGGAGTCGGGGGTGGCCGGCCTCCGGGGCAGCGACAGGTCCTCGGGCTCCGTCTGCTCGGGCCACTCGTCCCAACGCCAGTCGGCACCCACGGCCGCTGGAGGGCTGGGCGCGTCAGGCTCGCAGCCGGCGCTGGCACAGCGGTGCAGCGCGGCAGCCTGTCGCCGCCGGAACCTCGCCCCGCAGCGGCACGCGAACGGGGCATCCCCTTCGTGCACCAGCGCGTGCGCCTTCAGCTGATTGGAGTCGGAGAAGCGCGCCGGGCAGCGGGCGCACGCGTACGGGCGCTCGCCGGTATGGACGCGGAGGTGCCGCCGCAGATTCGCCACCTGCACGAAGTGGCGGGGGCAGTGGGGACAGCTGTACGGCTTCTCGCCGGTGTGAAGGCGCAGGTGCGTCTTGAGGTGGTGGTCGCGGGTGAAGCGCTTGTGGCACTCGCCACACTCGAACGGCTTCTCGCCGGTGTGCGTGCGCTCGTGGTTCTGCAGGACGTGTTTGTAGCCGAAGGAGCGCGAGCACACTTTGCAGGTGAATAGTTTGTCACGCGGCGGGTCGGTGGCGCCGGGCGATGAGCCTGAGGAGGGCGGCGAGGGTGGAGCGGTGGCGGTGCTGTCGTCCAGTTTGGGCGTACGGCGGCGTTTGCGCGCCCGCTCCAATTCCGGGGGCGGCAGGAGGGGCGCCGGGGGCGAGGGTGGCCACGCTGCTAGCAGCGCGCCCGAGTACAGCTCCGCCGGCAGTCCGGCCACCAGGGCGGCCGCGCGGCTGGCCAGCAACCGCTCGGCCAACATCGGTAACGACTCCTGACGCATACTCGACAGCGGCCTCACTGACACACCTGCAACAAAACTGTTCATTAACACATGTCGTTAACACAGTTGTTATATTTAAACAAAACGACAAAAAGTATTGCTTTTAAAACTTGTAAACTAATATATTTGGTCGCATTATTTCGCAAAAAACTGAATGAGAGAATTTTTTTAATTCTCTGTGTATATAACCCACTTTGTCTTCAAGAATAGCTCATTCAAAACACACAAATACGGAGGAGAAGGCATGGAAAAAGTTTCGTCACGATCATTTCCGTCACGGGTTACTTTCGGCCTAAACAAACATGCAGCCGAAGCGAACCTATCGATAGCATACTTATCAGCGAGTGGTCGTAAAAAATCCTCGGCAAAAACCAGACTGAGCCAGGCGTCACGGAGGAAACATTTGGTCGCAATCACACCGCTGCAGGTCGCTTCCGCCCCGACCTGTTGCGCAAATTGCCGACTAGCGACATCACTCCAACCCGTGCCTTATATCTTCGCGGTTAGAAGTCATTATCATTAGCGTTAGTATCGGATATTAGATCGCAACCGACAAAACTCGAATCTCTCTGCCGTCGCAACAGTCGTAGCTTATTGGGACGGTGAAAATTTTTAACACGCTTCTAACAAAGGACCTTGAAGTATGAACGTTGACTTCCGATCCGATGTAACGGTTTTGAAAACTGATAGATATCAGCAACTTTTAATTTCCAAGCATCGGTACGCGCAAAAGTAATTGCAATTTCGTCTATCGATTCGAGATTACTTGCCACATAATTATAAGATTTGGGATATGAAAGTGTGATCGCGTTATGTTGGTGTTTGGTGAGAAGTATCACCATTATATATTGAAGACGAAAAAGATTGTTATAATAATTACATTTTAATAAAGCAGCGTAGTGACAGAGAGCGGGGGAGTCGAGAGGCGGTGGTGCGGTGCCGGGAGCGACCGGACCACTTACCAACATAATGGAATTAATTATTCCACCAGCGGCAGACTCCGCCCGTCCGCTCCACCCAAATTATATTCAAATATTAATTTCACGACGAAGGAAAGCCTTTTTGAGAGCACTTAATTAAAATTAGACAAAATCGTAATTGAAAGTTCTCCTCGAGGCGTGAAGAGCGGCGGAGGGAGCTCCTTCCTACATTATCTACTTAGCCGCGGAATTAATTCGGAGTTGGGCCTCGGCGGCCGCCTTTAATTAAATCCGAATCATATTATGACCATTTGTTGGAGTTTTTATAAGAAGCGTAGGATCATGTAAAGAAATCCATCGTATTCATAGTCGAACACCAGACTAGATTCGGCCTGCAAATACGGATAGAGAAGCCGCGCAGTAAGCCGCGTTTTAAAGTTCGCAATTGGTCGGCGGAGGCGCGAGGCACGTAGCGCTGGCTTATCCCATAACTTTTTAATAACATTCCTCGTCGTTACGAGGGCGAACAGCGAACCGCACTCGAGGTGTGCTCCGAATTATAATATAAGACCTTACGCGAAAGTTCAAATACGCCTAACTAACGGCGAGTGTCAGCGCGGAGACGAGGAAAAAGGGAAGATCATTTTTAAATGAAAATTTTTTTTTAAATTATAACATGTCAATTAGGTACTAATAAAGTTTTTTATTTGCTGTTTATAATATTGTGTCAGAAATAATATTAATTTAGCAAATGACAATATTAAGAATGTAGCCAGCGTTCTTGGCACAATGCTGCGTGGATACGGTTTATTAAATAGCATGTAATTTAGTAAGATTTAATATTGAAAATATGGGATATAAAAAGTAATTAATTGTAAGAAAGTTTTAACGAAACCCGTTTATCGTGTTTCGTAATATTTAAAATTTATACCATTTGTCTCACTTTTGTTTTATTAATATTAAATAGGTAGTAGGAACATTTATGAATCATTCCAATTCTAAGATATTTCAACTTTACTTTTAATCGGTGTTCATTTCTGTTTTGCATTAATTTTTTAAAACTCTTTAAGGGATAGTTTACAACAACAAAAAAACACACCAGTGATTGACTCATCATGTTATTAAGTGCTATTGTTTCAAATTAGCTACTATTTCAAATTCTTCAAATACTTTCCGTAAGCAACTAGTCGCTATTCATAAATATTACTTATTGTGTTACAAATGGAAGTTAATAAAGCAGAAGCCTCAAACGTAACGTATCGGTTTTATCGTTGGGTCGGGGCCTGGGGCCCGGCTGACATCGATGGTGATAAATTTTTACAGTGGCGCACTCCACCCTTCCGTGCGGCGCTTTTTTACGCGCTAAAGAGTTGTAATTATCCCCTGTTTATACGCCATAAATATTTGTCAATAACCCATGCTCAATGCTTTTATGGAGTCGCTCTTGCCACTCCATAACTCATTATTGTACAAAGGTCCTTTGGGACTTGCGATGTGTAAATAGTGGTTGTCTTTCAACAAAATTAGTCGAAGGCGACTTTTGCGATTTACGATTTTAATTTTAACTAACATGATATTTTTAATTTATAAAATAAGTAATTAATTTTGATATTGTTAGTTTTTGTATTTTCTCTATTTTTAAATGCAAATCGATGCTAAAACATATTATTTCATATTTTTTAATAAATATTCCACATTAAAAAAATCGATTTAAAGGTTTTGTGAATTTGAATGTACATTAAGAAAAAATTTACTTATAAAACGAAAAAGTATATTTTTATAGTTTTCCTTATATTTTGGGATTTAATTTTTAAACTTTAAAACATAAATCCAGGCTCAAATAGTCTTTGTCAGTCCTTGGAATTATATTTTATATACTGCAAAAGGCACTCCAAGTGAAAACAAGAAGGACCAGCTATAATTCAATGAGTTAAATCGAGTCTGCTTTCCTCGTCTTCTGTTTTTTGCAATTTTTCGTTGATAATTTAGCATCAATTTATGATGAAAACGCCGGGTGAATCAACTCGTTTATAAAACACGTGAGCCAAAGCCGTTGTCTTCTTCGTCATTCGCAGACGCTCCTCGTGAAGGAAGGGGTTCATTTCCAACGCCGCCTTGCAAGCGTGTGACCTAATTCGAGCGCCTTAATGGGATCAGAGGGTCCATGCGGTGAACACTAACGCGTGCTTTGTCCACGCGGCACACAGATTATCGTCCCGCTACGGTTTCAGCATTTTAGGGTTAAGAGTCGCGCCTACACGCGCCGAATCTTGTGCGGCTTCACAAGCAGTATCCCTACATAGTAATAAAACGAAGACGTCCCGCTGTCTGTCTGCTAGACCTTTAAAACTACGCAACGGATCTTGATGCGATTTTTTTTTCTAGATAGAGTGATCCAAGAGGAAGGCTTATATGTATAATACATGGCAACCGTGCGAAGCTGGTGCGGGTCACTAGTGAATTATATTTTTCGCGACCCAATTGGCGTAGTTGATAGTGACCCTGTCTCTTGCGCTAGAGGGTTGTGTTCACTCCCCACTACTGGAAAAATATTGTGTGATGAACATAGTGTTTTTTTAGTGTTGGGTGTTCATATATCTATAATATGTCTTTATTTACAAAAAGAAGTATTTTTATCAGTAATATATTTAGCACCCATAGTACAAGCTTTGCTTAGTTTGGGACTAGATAACGTGTAAAAATGTCCCGAAATATTTTTTATTTTTATATTGTCGTTTCGTGTCATACATACCATAATATTTTTACTCGACTCTATACATAAACGTGCAAACAGTTAGTTCTTACTCGTAGAAGTTCGGAAACGAAAATATAATGTAGTAAGCCTTTTTATTCCAATGCAATAATAAAATAGTGTTCTAAATTTGTTCAAAAACATTGTTAAATGTGCTTAAAACTTTTTTAATTATTTATCCAATGACATTAAAATATAATCGGTAGATCCCAGTTCACGAGACGTTTATTATCATAGGCTTATTTAAATTTTGATGTCTTTAAAATGGGAAGTTATTGGAATCTGTATCTGTAGTAGCTTTTAATGGACCTACAGATAGTCATTTAAAAGAGGTTGAGTTCAATTCCAGTTATATTCTCAGGAAACTGTTGAAGAAAAGAGGTCACCTCGACTGTCTCGGTATCAAACGCCTTGCTTCACATCATCTCCTCAAACATTCATATGAAGTAATGAGGTGGTCGTTATAATTACATTAATTTTGATGTATTGCTAATCTTTTTCAATGTTGATAATTCGAAGAATCGACCATTTTTTTATGCGAGGTGGCAAGCGAACTGGCGGTTCACCTGATGTTAAGTTATAACTGCCGCTCTCGGACATTTGAAACGCTCGTAGGGTTGTAGATGCGTTGCTACCTTTTAAATGAGTGGGCCCCGGCTACCTCATTCACCAGACGAAACGCAGAAGTGTAACACTTCTGCGTTTTACGCCGGAGGTCGTGATGCTTACCCGGACGGACCTGCCCATTCGTGATGTGACTAATGCGTGATCCTACCACAGAAAAACAGCAATTGCTCAGAATATCGTATAGTACGCAATAAGAAGCAGAATAAGTATATATAACAGTATGGAAATGGCGCACTATGCTTAATCGTTATTCCCCATATAAAATTTAAGATACTGGATCTAACAGGCAATTATTAATGAAGAAATTATTGGGAAAGTACGTCCAGCTAATTTTGAGACAGTTTTGACCTATAAAATCATCAGAAAACACAAACAACATTCAAAATTTCGATTCTGCATTTAAACTAATTTCTTTATACCACAAAAATAGCCATTGCTTTAAAAGTATATGTAATATAACATTATAAAATAGTTTTAAGATTTTAAAGATGCTTTATTATAACGATTATAACGTATATCTTAAATATTATTCATTTAAAACATTCTTACTATTACTTGTTAGCTGACAGTTAATGCTGCTTTAACATGTATTCATTATTACCAAATAATTCATTTTAGATTATATGTATCGTTTTAATAAGTAAAACATATTATATATATTGATTGTAGAGAAATAAAGCACATATTAACTGTTCGTATTAACTGTTTAATCAATTTAATAAATAATAAAAATAATTACTCTAAATAAGGATGTAAGTAATTATTAAATTTTATCAATTTAAGTTGCGTTGGCAGCTTAAAAAATTGGTTCTTAATATTAAGTTTTAATGAAAGTCGAAGTTCGTTAGTGAGAAATGCTACGTCGTAGCTAAGCGCTACGCCTCCGCAGCTGACTACGGTTCACTGGATCTGCAAAAGCTCGAATGCAAATAAAGCATATGTGCCGGCCGCGGCGGCCAATCACCGCCGCCGCTCCACGCATGTCGTTGGCGGTCACTTTCAAAACTTTCAAATGAAAACACACACTGACAGATTCGGTGAACAAATAAGCATAGATATGTAATGAAAACACAAACCTCTGGAGTTCTGCGTAGACTGCAGCGATAAGGCCATCTCACATACAACTTCACGGGTAAACCATTGATCGTTGTCACCACTTCGAGTGTCTTTAGATACTCTTCAATGTTATTTATTTATACTAACTATTGCTTTATTGGCCTATTGCCGATGACGTGTCCGTCGGCACGGGATCGCGATTGCGAATGATGGTTGCGCGATGCGAGCGCGTTCGGTGGGACCTACCACAACACTGGCGTTGAGCGAGCAGGCCGCCCTCCGCGCGGTAAACACACCCCCACGCCCCTCCCTGCACGCCGCGACCCCTCGCCCCTCGCCCCATCCCGCATCGCCCCCCGATGCACTCCACGTGCACGCAACGCATTCACTTTTTATGGTCGCCACTACATTATGTTCCTTTCCTACTACTTTTTTAGCCCCCGTAACGAGCTACATAAGCGCTTTTTATGTTTATGGTCGGCTTCTGTCCGGAGCGAGCGGTGCTTTCTTTTACTAATTCGGGATTCCTGAGATGTTTCTTTGTTCAATTTTGACGTTGCCAAATTTTATGATTTATATTCTTATTTGTATTATTGGAAGTTTTCTACAATTGCAGACAAGGCTAATGCTCAAGAATTTAAGGAAATTTTTGCAGGATTTGAATTAATTTATTTTTAATTAAATATGCAATTTTTGCCAGTTGCATCATTTTATAAGTTAAGTAGTATTTGTTACTTTATCGGATTTAGTTATTGTATTAACGATATTTACGATAATAAAAAAAATAAACAAAACACTTGTCTAAACTACAAAATGAAAAAGTTTGAATTAAATTCTTGATTATAGAGACTTATACAGAAAAGAGAAATGATTTGTTGTGTAACATAATTACTAAACATTTATTACGGTCATTCATTCAATGGTCATTATATAAATTAACCCGTTTAACTACGTGTACTCGTTTAACTACACAATTATATTCGAAAATGGCTTTAAAGTTGATTAAGGTCTTTAGCTTATTTAAATGGTCTTCCAAAAACATTTGCACCTACCTACTAAAAATATATTAGTTGGCGTAAAACTCTGGAAATTTTGACTTTAATAACGTTTAAGTTTTTTAAAAAAAATTTGAGATTGTTTCATCTCAAATTAATTTTTTCAATTAAATATGCCAACTTATGCACTGCCAAATTGAGTCTTCACTATATTTGCAACAAAAAAAAAACATGAAGGTGGAACAATTTTTTATAAACAAATAAAGCTGTTTCCGTGGCACATAATTGTTCTTCATTAATTTATTAAATTTATTAACAGCTTCATGAAATTAGATGCCCATATGCTATTTAATTCTTGTTACCTACTACGGTTCTTTAATATAGCTCTTTTTTTTACTGCGGTTCTTTAATATAGAAATGAACACATCTATTTTTACGATGCATTCTAATTTGTGAAATTCCGTAAAACTAGTATTCAATTATTTAAAAAAAATATTAACATTTCTGAATATTTTGTTTTTGTTGTGCAAAAAGTTAATTATTGCGGTGGATATTGTGTCTATTATAGAGTCAGCAGCGTCTGCTATTGAGCGAATTGGCAGGCCCGTCCGAATAATATCACTGATTCACAGAGGATGTAACTTTGAACACGAATGTTGTTTTAATTAACACTAATTGATGTTTTAACACTAATTGATGTCCAACGGTGTTCTTAATCAATGTTTAATAACATAGATGACGCATGTCCACTACTTGAAGCAATACTGCAACGGTGTTTAAAAATTGTGTTACGCTTAACATTATATGACATATATATAAGTGAATGTGACAGATGATTTATAGAACGTATGATACGAAAAAAGATAGTCTATAGAATTGCAATCTAATTACACCAATTGCCGTAATTTGAGCGCTTCAGTTTCGGTGCGCTAGTGTCATGATTACCTTGAATTTGAATATAGTATCATTGATGATAATCACCTAAAATCAGATGACTGCGTTTGAAACCTCTTTCTGAAAAAAAGTATGATTACCTACTACCAAAAGTAACCACTTTCGCTTTTTTCCAAGCTAATGTAAGTACTGTAGTATAAATACTATCCGATGCTGCGAATTTGTTTAATACCTAAAATAATCTTTACTAATATTATAAAGACGAAGGTTTGTATGGATGGAAATCTCTTTCACGCAAAAACTGAAACTGAATAGATTTTAATGAAACTTTACAATAATATAGCTTATACATCAGAATAAGACATAGGCTATAATTTATATACATATTTTATGTAAATCTGTCTTTCTGTCTGAATGTAATGCCTTCAGCCTATTCTACTACTCCAGACGTAGTCGATGGCAGCAACTATTCATACATAAAATACACCAAGCAAATCACCCAGATGCTAAGCGCCAGTTTTAGCCACCGCGTGTCGTTTGTTCGGTGACCAAAGATAAGTATTTGTAAGACATACACATAATTATTCCGGACCTGATTATTCAGTCTAGTTTACTCTGGGTTTGTAAAACAGCCATACAACACGGGATTATTTTGTATTACGGGTAACATTTATAAAAAATCATAAGAGATTTGGGTTAGTTATCCATAGGCTATACTTGTCCTGCGACATTCCAGCCAATATTTATGTTCATAGTGCAAAGTAACAACTATATTTAAATCAAAAAGTTACCCTCCATAGCTATTGCAATGAATTAAATGTTCTATTACAATTTTTTTTAAATCAATTTGCAACGTGTCATAATATTTCTATATGCCTAGGCAAGCACATGTTGCCCTTCGCTAAGTCCTTAGGCATCTATTGGTTCAGAGACAACACGCGTAAATAGCATAAGTGTCGGGCCGCGGCGGCATGTCGCGTAAATTAAGCGGTTTTATCGCGCCCGCGGCAGACGCTATTTTTACCGGTTTCACTATTTTTAACGTTTTAATGCGCACGCGCCGCGCCGCCCCATCTCCGCGCGCTTTTTATCCCGCCGCAAGGAAGCAGTACCGGTAACACTATTATTAGTTATTTTATGTTTAATTGCCCAGCGATATCAGTTGTTTCGTTTACTTCTTACACACTCTTAACCGTTTTTACGATAGGCGATTAAAAATCGAATCGAAAAATAAAAAATGTATTAATGATATTGTTTCTGGTAAGTATATTCGGTCCAACCTGTATTTTGCTTTTATCCGTTTGTATGTTTACTTTATTCACTTTTGACTTTACGATATTATAGATCCTTTCATACGCCATATTGGAGTGCTTCTCTGCGTACATTATCCACAAACCTGTGTTATAGTTTACACTCGTTTACGCTAAGTATAAGAATCCAGTTAACGACTTAGCTTTTTGACCATTGTCTGATTTTTTAATTATAACAGCTGATAACGACAGTGTTTGCCAAACATGTTCCGATTGTCACAAGTTTACGTTGACATAGTGCTTAAGCTAACAAATCTCAAAACTAACAATTTATCCTACAAACAGATAAAGTTTTCTATAATTTAGTTTTAGTTTTAATTTCCTGATTTTTTAATATTTTTAAACCTAACCTATTATACTCTTTGTTTCGAAACATTTTTCTTTTTAATTTATTTTTATTATTTATTTATTTTGTATTGTATTCAGTTTGTGTCCATTTTCATATTCTTACAATAACAATGAGTGTTAACTATGAGATGGGAAGACACTGTAGTCTGTAACACAGTTGTAACAGGCTACAGGGCTTCTAATGATTACATGTTTTTCACTTTTTTGTAACCAATTAACTCTATTATTATTAATTTGTGTTGATCCGGTTAACTTAATTAGCATTTAAGTGAGCAGTGTCCATTAAAAAATTTGCAGTGGCTGGAAAGGGCATCTAAGTTTCTGTATACATATCTATTGTAATCTATTTATAAAATGTAAACTTAGATGGCAAATAAATGATTGATTGATTGAATTTAGTTCACAGTAATACACTACTACTATATTCTCTAGTACTAAATAATTAAAGAGTTTCACAACTCGAGAAGTGAGGTAATGGCAGAGTTTAATAAATAATTTATTTTGTTTACTACCCAAATCTTAATGCGTTTTTGTTTTCATATATATTTTTACCGTTTAACCATTTCACAAGCATCTGTGTTTCGTAACTATCAAGTGAATCACTAATGACTGCTGTTATACTAAATAAAGAATAGTTTATTTCAGGCGAAACGACACTGTTCTTCGACAATGCACAGCGAAAAGATTGTTAGTTTTTTAAGAACTGCTTCCCACCTGCTGTTGTCGCGTGCCTGCATTGTTCGTCCGAATCTATATCTTACTCCTCTACGACAACATATAAAATTGAGTGAGCCGCCTTAAGTGGGGAGGTTTTTTAAGTAAAAAAGCTCTAACCTTCCCTCTCTATTTCGGTGCATCATCATTGTTTAGCAGGATGTTTGGGTTTCTTATCTCGCACACGCCGTCGCACCTTGCCTCGGTTTCGGAAGCAGGGCCCCGCTCCTGCGAGATATCTATAAATTAGGCAACAGCAAGATCTCTGTCCGGCTCGTATTCGCTGATAAACATTTGCCATAGACGCAGGTGCTTGCCAAAGATTTTATCTTAAGCACACGTTTAATATCATTTCGCTATCAATTAGCGCGACTTCGGAGCGGACATTTGTGCTCTTGGAGATAATATCGCCGTCAATTTTGCCATAATTCAGTTCAGAAAGGAGCCCTTTTTTTAAATACGTAAATTATTAAGGCCCACTTTGACAAATGCTAGAAGCAATAGACTAAAACATGAGTTTTTTGATCACATTTTTAAAAAGAGTCTAACCGGTAAGCTTTTTTTTAATTTTCTTAAATAAAATAATTATAGTCGTTTTGTCTCGTATCCTAATAATAAACTAGTACTACTGTTATTAAATCGACCTATAGTTATTGCATTATAAAACTTACTTATTTATGTACCTTTTTTGTGCTTTATTTTAATTTTTAAAATTAAATTTCGGGTTTTGTTTTGCAACTACTTCAAATTTTCACTACCCAGGGTTGACTGCTTATTAGCATTAAGTTTGCCTTTTGTTGGGGTGTAAGAAATAAAATTTTAAATAAATAAATAAATTATACATATACAGCGTGTCGTTACCATCGCGACAATAAATGAAGACACGTCTAACGCTACTTGCCAATAATATTAAAAAAATATTAACGTTAAACAAAATCTATAATTAAAAAAAAATATTTTTCAAACAAACTAATTAAGTAAAAAAGAAATGAAATTTGTAACATCCTATACAACTCGCGCCACAGCGTCGTATTACAAGTCTCTCCTTCTAACAGTATGTTTTGTCTCTTTTAAATTCATTCAACCCATTCATATGCTTTGTGACCTTTACAAATGAACTTTAC